ACCCCCCCCCCCCCCTCTACACGCTACAGACAATAATACTTTTACTTTTACTTTGTACTTCAAGTATTTTTTAAGGATACTTTCTACTTTTTACTTAAGTACGTTTTGCTTCCAATACTTTTTACTCTTACTCAAGTCGTTTTATTGTTAATTACTTCTAATTTTACTCGAGTACAAATTCAAAGTAATTTAGGCACCACTGGGTGAGGTGAGGTGAGGTGAGGTGAGGTGAGGTGAGGTGAGGTGAGGTAAGGTAAGGTAAGGTATAGGTGAGGTGAGGTAAGGTAAAGTGGTCATCATGAGGTGAGCTGTAGTGAGGTGACATGCAGTGAGGTGACGTGCAGTGATCTGTATTGAGGTGCAATCTGCGTTCATGTGAGGAGAGATGAGGTGAGGTGTGGTGTGGTGTGGTGAGGTGTGGTGTGGTGTGGCGAGGTGCAGTGATCTGTGTCGAGGTGCAATATGTGTTGTGTTGAGGTGTGGTGAGGTGACTGGTGCGGTGTGGTGAGGTGCGGTGTGGTGAGGTGCGGTGTGGTGAGGTGCGATGAGGTGTGGTGAGGTGAAAGTAGGCTCAGATATTTCAAATGACTCCATCACATGACATGTTTTACCAGAAAGTTTGTGTTGTCGAGCATCGGTAATACCAGTTTCCTGAGCCCACTTTTTGATCATTAAGGCCAGCGGCCGCACACGTGGATCCATAAACGCGTAACACTTGAGCAAATAAGTGCTTCGAATCCCGTTTTCTTGATTGTAACTAATATCACCCTCGTAGGAGGAAATATGGTCACAGACTTTTAGGATTGGTACTTTTGCTGAGTAAATTGACTAAAAAACAGAACGTAGATAGATTTAGTAAGCGAGCAGGCTCTGGAGAAATTGGAAGGTGAACCTGCACGGACGCCATACGGTTTTGGATATCTGCCTCTTAAATTGGGACGCAAAATTCTTATTAGTATTAACGTCATTTTTAGAATGCCATGTTGTCATGACAACAAGAATGTTTAACACTTATATTCATAATGGTTAGTACAATGTTAATGTTATGGTCGAGTTCCATGATCATATCTTGCAAGGAGAAAAAGTACGAGATCATAAAAGGTCATAAAACAACTGAGTGCTCGATAGAGCTAAAATAGTAGGGAGCCACCTTAGAACCGGAAGTTATCACTCTAGATACATCCGGCTCTTTGTGTTACGGTGGGGGTCTACCTAAACCACTCGAAAAAATCGATTTCATTTTTTGAGCTAAATAGTTAGTGTGGCATGTAATTGATGTTGTGAAAGTATTTATTTGGTTGAATTCAAAAAATTGTTCTCTCAGGAGCTGTTTTAAACAACCTCACTTTAATTTTTAGCTTGGTTGCCATGGAAACGAAAGCCTGCGTCCTTCATATTTTTCATGTTTTTGCTAATATATTATGCTGTCCCTCCCCTCCCTAATATAAAATATTGATGCAGGCTCATCTCTAGATGATTTTTCAGCGGATCTACGTGAAGATTATGCGCGTGTATGCGTTTTTTCGAGAACTACTGATTCAAACAGAACAAATTGAAAAATGCGTTTCAATATTTCGTAAATATTGATTACTTTTGTGTATATATTTCTTAACATTTGGTTAAAAGTAACTAACAAAGGTTCACAGAAAACATTATACGAAACGTTATTCACTGGGGTAAAGAAATGCGCGATAAAGACGACGATAAAACGTGAACACATTCATGCATTCAATACCAATGTCAACAGTCATCTTCGAATCGTATTTGGATTATTGGCATCTTATAAACAGATATTCAAACGTCTGTTCTGATCCACTTAGTAGCTGTGTATGGTGAACTGTAGATGTAAGTATTTTTCTATCATTGAATGATTGATTCTACTATACAAAAAGTCGAATTGTTGAACGTTCTAATGCACTAAAGGGTAGCCTGATAACAGACCTACGTTTCACCCGCCCTAAAATTCGTCGACGGAAAGGGCGAAACGTAGGTCTGATGAAAATGTTGTCAAAAGCGCCTTCCGCCCACTTTGCATTTTGCAATAATTAACGACGATGATTGACACATACATGTAATACCTAAAAATACAATGAAAGTTGTCGATTTCACTTTATTGCAAGTTTGTAAACTAGTAAGAGTCGATAAGTACAGATATTCGAATAAATATTTAAAATATTGGTAACCTATGGAGCCCGTTGCTTTTATATACTTAAACCTTTGTAAATAAACAGTTTACAGCTAGTAATAATACAACATTTTCAACACATTCTATAAATGCGATAAAATCTCCCTACGCAAATTTGGCAATGGCCAATGTGCCATTGTTGAATTGCATCCCAACTCTTACAATTTATACATTTGAAATCGCCATACAATGGTAAAATCTAAGGGACGGACCATTTGATTTTTGATGGGGGGGTGGGTAGATTTTCAGTTTGCTCGATATTTTTTTTCCGCCTCCTGACACTGTTCGATTTTTTTTTGTCAGTCAGAGGACTTGCACGATATTTTTTTGTATGCATGTATATACATTTTTTAGCTTTTTGTTTTTACATTTTTTGGTATACAGTATAATAGGTATTAAATTGGACAAGTACTGGTGTAAGACATTGTGTAGCCTAAATAATGAGAGGACCAGTATTCAAAAAATGGTTGTTCTTCACTTATTTCTTTACTCCGACTCCTATGATGAACATGTACGTAAAAAAAACTAGGCCTAGGAAACTACGATTATATATAGAAACTAAAGTATAGGTGAAATTCTTATGGGACTCCATAAAAGGTGAGGATATAAGAGTGAGAGATTGAAATTGAGTAGGAAAGGCAACTCTACACGCGTTTCAACCCAACAGTCTTCTTCAGCAGGGTTTTTTAAAGGGGAAATATAGAATTTGTAGAGGAGAAGAAAGGAGAGTTTAGGAGTTCGGAAAATAATGTGAACTTGGATCCTCTACGTAGCAAAATCCACACCAGAATATATAGCTATCTATTGGTCATCGTATCGTTCATTTACTAATCTCTGTTTTGGTTTTGTTATATATGTACATGTTTTAGTTATTATTGTATATTCATATATTTTAAACAAAAATCAAACCCTGCACGGAGTTATCATTATTTTTATCCCTTATGTATCACTAATTGCCAAACGCCCCTATCCCTGTCTTATAAGCTCCTACACCACTAACACCATATTTGGATGCAATCACCTACAGTCACATGATCACCCTTACCATCACAATCACAATCATTCAAACTCACTATACCATTGTACTAGTAAGTTAACCCTTAATTGAAGGACCTGCAAATTTGCTTCACTTCACCAATACGAACGATGAACAATAAAGTGCGTAGTGTTGGAATGTCCCGCAAACAACAAGACCTTTGGTAGGATAACTTGACTAATAACATGTATGGTAGTTACATCCTTTCACGGTGTAATTGGTTATTTTCAGTTATTTCGTAATAATTCGTTTTCCTCTTGGTCTCACATTATTTTCCAAACTCCTATAAACTCTCCTTCCTTGCCCTCTTCAAATTATATCTACCCCCCCCCCCCTTAAAAAACCCTGCTGAAGAAAACTGTTAGGTCGAAACGCATACCCCTGTACGCTATTCCTACTCAATTTCAATCTCTCGCTCTTATATCCTCGAATAAAAATTTCACCTATTTTAGTTTCTACGGCCGTGATTTAATCGTAGTTTTCCTAGTTTTTTACGTACATGTTCATCATAGGAGTCGGAGTAAAGAAATATTAAAGAACAACCATTTTTGGAATTATACTGGTCCTCCCATTATTTAGGCTACAGGGCCGTGGGAAGAAATTTTTGATTGGGGGGCTGAAAGCGAGG